CCAAGATGATGAACTGTGCCAACCCGAAGAACACTGGTGGCATGCACGGGCTGCTCCCGGTGCACGTGGGCATGCGGATCCGGCCCCTGGAAGCGCTCGACCTCAAGAACGGCCTCGTCAAGGATGCCGAGGGGCAGATCGTGCACATCGTCGTGGACCCTCGAGATCGGGACGACGTCGAGAGAGCCGAGAGAAAGGGGGAGAAGAGGATCTACCTGAAGCGCTTGCCGCTGGGGTTCTGGGTGCGCATGGAGAAGTACGCGAGCGCGCCCTTCGTGGACGACCTCAAGCGCCGCGACGACAGCCTCACGGGGGACCTCGCGGGCCCGCTGGTGTTCATCGAGCCCCGCACGTCGGCGCCGTTCACCTTCCGCACCTCCAAGGTCACGCGGACGGGCTTCCCGTTCTCGCACGGCAGGGTCATCGCCACGGTGGCGTGCCAGGGGCGCACCATGCGCGAAGGCGACGGGGCGGGGGAACGGCGCTCCGGGGGCGGCCAGACCTCCGGGGCGCGAGCAGTCCGCGGCCAGACCATCTCTCGGTCCTGTGGACTCTCGCCCTGGGCCGTCGGCTGCCCGGCGCACTGCCCCCTCGGCCGAGTCGCCCAGGTGTGATCCTGGACTGCGGCCGCCACGAGGTCGGGAACGGCAAGAAGGAGGACGACGACTGGTGGCTGGAGCTCTATGCGCTGCTCTCGCGCGCCACGCGCCACGAGGACCTCCTGCTCACGCGGGCGCCGCGCATCGAGTTCTTCCTGGCAGGACCGCCGGAGGGCCTGCGAAAGCAGCTGGAGCAGTTTGCAGCGCGCACGAAGCGGCGCAGGAGGGGGGCGACGGCCCTCGCCAGGGAGCTCGGCCTCACCGAGTTTATCCGCGAGGCCTGACCTGAGGAGCGCCCCCCCCGAGCCGCGCCTTCTCTCGACTGCCCGCATAATTGTTCGGCCTCGCGCCGCGGACGACCCGCGCGCGTCGCTAGGGCCCTCTCGGGGCGACCAGCGCGCGTCGCGGGGATTCCGCGCGGCGCTCTGCTCAGCGCCTCGCTCGCCCGTCGTCGCTCTGCCCAGCGGCCGGAGCCTTGCCCGCAATCAGCCGGCCGGCTAGCTCTCTGTGCTCCGCGCAGCGGACGACCTGCGCGCGTCGCTGGGACCCCTCCGCGGCCACCTGCGCGCGTCGCGGGGACTCCGCGCTGCTCTGCGCCCGCAGCTTTGGATCTTTGGAGCGCGCAGGCAAAGAGGGGGGAAAAGAAAGGGCGGAAGCGGGTGCGATCCCCGTGAGGGGCGTGCCGACATGGGCGTCGCGGCGCGCGGGCGCTGCCGTCGGGGTTCCCGCGGAAGCTGCCTGCGGCGGCCACGCCCAATGTCACGAGTGTTCGGACAGGCATGCTCAAGCCATTCACATTCATATACATTTACACTAGGCGTAGCCAAGATCGCACTCATGCAAATATACTCACTCCCACGCAGACCCATTCACACTCAGACTCTCTCGCGCTCTGGCTCACCCGCGTTCATTCGTAATCTGACCTATCGTATTCCTTTGCGTTGTGTACCCCGCCATATTTCGGCATACCCCTCCTGCGGTTCGTGGCCCCATAGGGAGCGCCACCGAAGAAGGTACTCACAATTGCGGCACTCACAACTGCATATGGTTGGGTCTTTCGCCAGGATAATTAGTATTACGTAGTATTATTAGTATTCCTCCTCCTCCTCGTCCTCCTCCGTGTCCTCCTCTTCGTCCTCCTAGTATTCCTCTGATTCTTCTTATTAGCATTAGCATTATTGTCAGCATTAATATTATTATTCGTCTGATTCTTCTTCTTCAAATTAGTATTCGTCTCCTTCTTTTGATGATTCATATTATTGTTAGTATTCATCTTCTTTGTATTATTATCAATAGTATGAATATTATTATTGTTAGTAGTATTCCTCCTCCTCCTCCTCCTCTTCCTCCTCCTCCTCCTCCTCCTCCTCCTCCCCCTCCTCCTCCTCCTCCTCCTCCTCCTCCTCCTCCTCCTCCTCCTCCTCCTCCTCCAATCATCATCATCCTCCTCCGCCTCCTCCTACTCCTCCTACTCCTCCTCCTCCTCCTCCTCTTCCTCCTCCTCCTCCTCCTCCTCCTCCTCCTGGCGCGGAGTCCGACCGCCAGCGACGGGCGTCCGGAGCCGCGTTGTCGACCTCGTGGACGCCGTTGGTAACGGAGCCCTGGTCACGCTTCAAGGCGGGGAACGGGGCGTAGAAACTAGTCTTTTCGTCGAGCAATTGCGGGCAATATGGCGCAACGCGGCGAGCTTCGCTGCCGTGCTCCATTTCCAGGTGGACCATGTGGAGCATGGCTCCGGAGTCCTTCTCGCCCTCTGGCACCTCAATATTCAGGCCGAGCATGCGGCGCTGGTTCCAGCACAACATATATTGCACCACATAGATTGCACAACGTAAGTTGCACAACATACGTTGCACCATGATTGCACAAGCACACATGGTATAACATATATTGCACCACATGGATTGCACCAAATAGGTTGCACGGCACAGGCTGCACCACATTAGTTGCACCTCATCGATTGCCCCGCATATTTGTTGCGCAACGTAGCTTTCATAACACAGATCGAACCACCTAGATCGCACCACATAGATCGCACCACATAGATTGCTCGCCATATACTGCACCGCGTGAATTGCACCGCGTATTTGGTTCCACATAAATGGCTCAGTCTAAATTGGACCACTCATATTACATAGTCTTGATTCTTGTGTATGTATAATGTATATATATATATATATGAAATGTATATCAAAGTGTATGTATATATCTATACATATACATATACACATATATGTGTGCGTAGACAGATGCATCCATAACAACACCAATATACACACACCTACAAGCCTACAAGCTTGAACACATGTACACATACAGACATACATACATACATACGTACATACAAACATACATACAACCATGCACACATTCATACACAAATCTACAAGCAATAAGCAATCATGCATGCGTACACACATACATACCTCCATACATCCATGCATCCAGACATGCATACATACAACCATGCATCGCTGAATGCCGGCGTGCAGACTGACACGGGCTCGGCGCGGGCTGGGACGGGGGGCGCCTGCGGAGCTCCCCTGGAACAGCTCGACCCTGAGGGGACACACTGACGCGGGGCCGAAACCGGCAGGGCCAGCAGGAATGAGAATGACGCGAGAGAGGGCAACCTGTTCAACGTGGCCGGGGCAGCAAAAGGACGCGTCGGTGCCAAATTGGGCACGACAACGACAACAACAGCAGCAGCAGCAGCAGCAGCAGCAGCAACAAGAACAACAACAACAACAACAACAACAACAACAACAACAACAACAACAACACCAATCATTTTACCCGAACGCGTGGTGTTCTCCCCAGTGCCAGGGTTTTCATACGACACCAGGCAATACCCCCACTTCGTGGGGGGGCATTACAAGCTCTACCAAATATCCAAACGACTCTTCGCGACCACCCAAACACAGCTTCCCGCCCTATGACGTTGGGACACTTCACTTCGTGGCGTGCGGACGACCGTGGCTACTACACTGGCGTGGGGTACACACCCACAGAACTTGGTCACTTCTTCGGGGCGCGCGTGTGCCCAGCATCCTGCAATTGTGACATACAATACATGACACAGACAGACAGAGAGAGAGACAGAGAGCAGACAGAGAGAGAGACAAGCGAGCGAGAGTTTGTCAAATTTATTGGAAGTTCCTAAGTACGTCGTGATTTTTTGTTGGTCTTAGGCGCGGCGAAATGTCCACTTATACTTTTTTTTGCAAGGGGTAATTTGAAATTTGATTATGTTAGAACAAGAAAAATAGCTCGCGCGAGCTCATGTAACACAAATGTTGAAAAACCATTGATTTTGTGGGAGTCGGACAGCGCGCGCTGGATGAAATTTGGACATTTTTTTTTGAAAAACCATTGGGTTTTTGATGTTTTTATGTTGAAATCGTTACGAAACCTAAGGTTCTGGAAGGATTTCGTCTTGCGCGCGCGAATGTCCACTTTACCTTATTTTTTGCAATGGATTATTGAAATTTGATTATGTTTAGAACAAGAAAAAAGTAGCTCGCGCGAAGCTCATGTAAACATAAATGTTGAAAACCATTGTTTGTTTGATACGGACAGCGCGCGCGGAAGGACATTTTGACAATTATTTCTTAAAAAACCATTGGGTTTTTGATGTTTTTATGTTAAAATCGTTACGAAACCTAAGGTTTTGGAAGGATTTCGTCCTGCGCGCACGAATGTCCACTTTACCTTATTTTTTGCAAGGGATTCTTGCAATTTGATCAAGTAAGAACAAGAATTTTCATTTTATAGTGTTTTTTGCAAGGGAAAACGGATTACAACAAAACAACCGGATCCGGACACAATCCACTTTTCTGAAGCTTTCGCGAAAAAAATGATGAAAATGTAGCTGCGGCCTAGGCGCGGCGCAGAGGTCGCGCACCAGGGGTCCCAACAATAATAATTCTTAAGAAGGAATAATGTTCAACAACAACAACAACAACAACCACAACAACAACAACAACAACAGCAGCAACAGCAACAACAACAACAACACCAACAACAACAACAACAACAACAACACCAACAACAACAACAACAACAACAACAACAACAACAACAGCAGCAGCAGCAGCAGCAACAACAACAACAACAGCAACAACAACAGCAACAGCAACAACAACAACAAACATTTTAAGACTGTTCGCTCTGATCTGCTCACGTGTCATTCAATATGCATATCCCAAACCCTGGACACCCACCCTCTTCGTCTTCGATCGTACCCCGTCTGGGGGGTAGATTCATCCCCTGCCACGAAGGGCAGCAACGGGGCCACGAAAGGCAGCGAGCGAAGGCGACCACGGAACCAGTGCCGGCAGCGATGGCATTCCCCGATCCCGTGGGGAAAAAAGGCGTCTAAGTGCCGTCGAGCGGCGGACTGCAAAGTCCCTACCGGCTTGGTCGCGCGCGGGCAGGCCAGACGGGCGGTCGAAGCGGGAGGGGTCGTTCAATCGTAACTTATGATTGAAAAAAAACCGCCAGGGAAATGTAAGCGGGAGCACCATATCCTGAGTGTCCCGGGAGAGCAATCTGGATAAATTGTGAGGAAGGAAAAATCGGGTGGGAGCCGTGCGACTCGGGGTGGTAAGTGCGAAGAAAAAAAAGAAAAAGAAAAATAAAAAAAACAAAAAATAAGAACAAAAAAAAAAAAAAAAGAAAAAAAAGAAAAAAAAGAAAAAAAAAGAAAAAAAAAAAAATAACAAAAAAAAAAAAAATAAAAAGGAAAAAAAAAAAAAAGAACAAAAAAAAAAAAAAAAAAAAAAAGAAAAAAAAAGGAAAAAAAAAATAAAAAAAAAATAAAAAGTCCGAAGCGAGAGCGCGATTCTTCGACAAATCCCACCAGCCCTCTGTGCGTCGGTGGTTTAGAGCGTTTTCTCTTCCACCCCTCCTTCTTCCCCTTCGGGGAGGGGCTTACCCCTCCCCCTACCCCCTCCCCACTGACCTGGACAGGGGGGGCCGCGGGTAGTTAGAGCGTCCAAGACGGCCCAACACGGCCCCAAAAGGGCCTCAGGGAGCTCAAGGTGACCTCCAAGATGGCTCAAGATAGCGCAAGATGCCTCAAGATGGTACCCATGATGTTCCAAGACGCTCCAAGAACTCCCCAAGACGGTTCCAAGTGCCCACAAGAGCATCATTAGGATGCATCCAAGAAGCCAAAATGCTTCAAAACCCATGGGAAAATCAATGTTTTCGGTGTTCTCACTTTTTCGCTTGCGATGCACATCCGACGCGTCAAGATGGCTCCAAGATGGCTCAAGATAGCTCCAAGAGGGGCCCAAGAGAGCCTCAGGATGGCTCCAAGAGCGGCCACGAGCGCTCCAAGAGCGATCCAAGAGGGGTCCAGGAAGCGATTTTGGGGGCTCCTGGGGGGGGGGGGGGGGGCTGGAATTAGGGAACCCGACTTCCTTGGCCGATGTCCTCCTAAATTGCCCCAAGAGCGCCCCAACAGGGCCTTCAAGGGCGCCCAGGCGGGTCCAAGAGGAGCCCAAGCCTCCCAAAACAGCTTCCCAAGAGACCCCCAAGAAACCTCAAGAGTCCCCCTGAGGCCATTGGAAAGCTCCCCAGACGTCTCAAGAGACTGCCAAGACTACTCCGAAAAGAGATCCGAGGAGGCTCTTATGTTCGCCATGTGTCTTGCTCATCCTTCTCTTCAGCCTCCCCCGTCTCCGCCTCCTCCTCCTCCTACTCCTCCTCCTCCTCCTCCTCCCCGTCCGCCTTCTCATCCACTTCCTTTTCCTCCTCCGTCATCATCATCATCATCATCATCATCATCACCATCATCATCATCACCATCATCATCATCATCATCATCATCATCATCAGCCGTGTCTGCCTACTATGATACTCCTGCCCCCCCCCTTCTCATTATCCGCCAGATCACATGATTGTCCCGGGAAACATGTGATTCTTCCTGACCACTCCCTTACTCGACGCCTCAATTGCCATCTGTACTGTCCGAAGCAAGCTACAAAAAGCGTCGGGTGCGACTGCTGTTGCAGGAGATTGCGGCAAGGCCGCCAATTACCCTTCGCCTTCTCCTCCTTTTCCTCCTCCTCCTCCTCCTTCTCCTCGTCCGCCCATGGCTAAGCTGCCTCAATTCCACTTCCTCCTCCTCCGTCCTCATCATCATCCCTCGATCATCATCATCATCTCATCATACAACATGCATCACATCATCATCCGTCTCACCTCACCTCATACCTCATCTCCATCCTCATCCTCATCCACCATGCATCAATCATCAAACATCATCAACATCATCATCCTCAGCATTCATCATCATCTCACCATCAACACAACATCCTCATCCTAATCCTCATCCTCGATGCCACAAACCTCATCATCATCATCAATCATCATCATCATTATCACATCATCATCATGCATCATCATCATCATCAAACAACATCCATCATCATCATCATCATCACCTCGCAATCATCAATCATCCGTGTATGCTACAATGAATAATCCTTCTCCCCCCCCCCCCCCCTTTATCCCCCCCCCCCCCCCTTTTTTTATCAGCCTGATCACATGATTGTTCCGAGAAACATGCTATGTTTCCTGAGCGCTCCCTTACTCGACGCCTCAATCCCACCAGCCCTCTGGGCGTCGGTGGTTTAGGGCGTTTCCTCTTCCACCCCTCCCTCTTCCCCTTCGGGGAGGGGTTTACCCCTCCCCCTACCCCCTCCCCACTGACCTGGACAGGAGGGGCGGGGAGCGGTCAGAGCGTCCAAAACGGCGTCGGCGAGGAAGCCAAAATCATTGATTTTACTATGGTTTTGACCCCATTTTGGCCTTCTGAGGGGGCAGGGCTAATTAAAGCTCCCCTCTTCTTTGATCGATTTCCTCCACGATGGCCGCAAGAGGCCCCCAGGATGCCCCAAGAGGCCGCAGGATGGCCCCAAGATGGCCCCAAGAGGCACCCCAAGAGGCCCCCAGGAGGCCCCCAAGAGACCCCCAAGAGGCCCCAAGAGACCCCCCAGAGGCACCCAAGGTGCTCCCAGAGGCCCCAAGATGGCCCCAAGAGGCCCCAAGAGGCCCCCAGGAGGCCCCAAAGAGGATCCCGAACGGCCCACAGAGGCCCCCCCCGAGGCACCCAAGGCGCCGAAAAGCCCCTCAGGACGACCCTCTACTCGCCTGGGTGTCGTTTCTGGACGGGCTGGTGGGGATACGCGAAGCGTCGCGATCCGGTTGTAAATTGCAAGGAAGTCCCACGCGAGAGCGCGATTCTTCAATAAATTGTGAGAAGTATCAGGCGGGAGCTGTTGTTGTAAACCGGGGGCCAACAACACAGTTTGACCCTCAACACTTCCCATGATAAAAAAAACAAGGTGCGAGCCCCGGGAAGGGCACTTCAATCGAAAAAAAATAATGTGCACCGAACGGGGGGATCACAAATATTATTCTTCAGAAGTGGAAGACAACAACAACAACAACAACAACAACAACAACAACAACAACAACATCATCAACAGCAACAACAACAACAACCACAACAACAACAACAACAACAACAACAAAACAACGACAACACCACCAACAACAACGACAACGACAACAATAACAACAAGAACGGCGCAGATGGTGGGAGAGGAGACCGCGGGCGGCGGAACACGCTCAGGCCGTGAAAATATAGTGCGGGGCGGGAACGGAGGATTAGGGAGGACCAGATGAAAGACAACGAAAAAACAGGCAGGGAGAGGAGGTGTTTCAAAAGGGAGGGGAGGTGGAGGACAAGAGGAGGTACAAGAGGATACTGGCGGCGAAGGGTAAGCGAGGGAAGGGACGGCGGAGAAAGGACAAAAACAGTGAATGAAATGGGGACGGGGGGAGGGAGGGCGATGGAACACACGGGAACTCCTATTGCACCGACCCGTCGTTTCCACGCGAACGCCATCCCGAAAGCTCGAAGTGACATTGTAACGGTCGGCCACACACCGAACACAATGCTTCCTCCACCAGGAGAGCGAGACAATAGAGAGGTCGAGAAAACGGGAGAGAGAGAGAGAGAGAGAGCGAGAGAGAGAGAGAGAGGGACACACACACATGTACATATAGGCACGCTGTCTACTTCTCCACAATAGAACTGGGAGAAAGCTGAGCAGATCGCGGGCAACGAAAGGTGCCGTACATCGAACAGTAAACGATATATGGCGTTTGAAGTCATAAGGCACACGAGTTCGAAACACTTCAAAAAGCAAAGAAGAAACGAAAATGGCTGGCGACTTGCAGGACTGAGTTATATCCATCACGTATACGGATCCACAACATGCACAAACCAACACGACCAACGATATCCAAAACAATTTGCTCGCATATAAAACTGAAAGGGAGCGGAGCAGAGCCCAGGCAAGCAGCGTCGCCGCGAGTCGAGCAGCAGACGAAAACATATGGCCAAATACACGGCCGATTGCACGAAGGACCTGGCACGCCGCCCAGCACTCACACAAATCCCACGAGGCGGGCGAGGCGCTTGGCGGAGGCGGCATCAACCCAGGCGCGGGCCAGCTCGCGGCAGAAGGCCTGGGGGCGCGGCTGGGCCGCGGACGTCCAGGGGCGCCTCCGGGCGCCTCCCCTTCCAGGACATGGCGTCGGGCCCGGGCGCGCTCGCAGACCCCCCGTCGCCCCCCGCCCGGCGACGGGCCCGAAACGCGCCAGATGCGCCGCCAGGCTCGCGCCCGCCACGGCTCACGCCACAGACAAAAGCCAGCAGAAGCAACTCCTCCAAGCCTGAGACGCTCCACGGGGGGCGCGCCCACAAGCCCGCCAGGAACACCCTTTTTGCAAGCGAGCCCAGAAAGTGCGACTGACACGCGCATTACATGATTGCCAACTCTAACTTTGGCCCGATCGGGCCCCGACAGGTTCAGGGGGCCCAGGGGGGGGCCCACGCGCGCTCACAAGACCGGGGCCAGTCTCAGCGAGGCGCCCAGCGAGGGAAAACAAAGAGCAGGGGGTGCCAAGCTACAGTATTAATCGGGGATGGACAGACCCCCCTTTAGAAAAACGTGGTTTAGTGAAAACGACCTGAGGCCCAAACCTGGCGGACGCAAGCCTGGAAAATCAGCCGACCCTGTCGGCGTGTGCCAGGGGCTTGGCTGTTCGAGTCGTCGTCTCCGTCGGTCGTCGCCTCCGTCGTCCCCTTTCCCTGCAGCTTCCTTCTCAAGCTCGTGAGCGAGAGAAAAATCTAGCAGTGTCGCAATCGAGTCGAAGGGAAGCCCCTTCCCTTTGATCCCTTCCCCAGGGGGGGGGGGGGTCCCGGGGAGGGTCCCGGGGGTGTCCCGGGGGGGGTAGGGGGGCAGATTCGTTTTTCCTCGGGCGGCCTAGAAACCTCGAAAACACTCCAAATGAGGTCCGAATGCCCCAGATGGCCCCCG